CTGAGAAAAGACTCCCGTTTGTCATATTTGCTCATAGATTAGACCGGCTTGGATTTCAATTTACAATTTCAATAGTTTAATACTGGCCAATACTTTAAATGATACAAGTGATTATTATTTGCTGTTATTGTACTTGTCTGTATTTGATCTAAATTCAGTTTTAAATTGCTATCTCAACTGTCTTTATAAGTATTTTATAAAGAAAAAAAAATTCAGTATATTTTGTTTAGTAACAAAAATTCCATTAAATTTGAAAGACTCATGTACATAGATGGGAAGGTAGTGTAGGGGCAGGGCAATGGACTCCTTAACCGGAGGTCTTGGGTTCAAATAAAAAATGCAATGAGGATCACTGGCGTCCTCATTTTACATTTCTGAAATTATTTTCTATGACACAAAACACATTTAATGTTCCCCCGAAATGGTTTCGTCATTAATAGGAAAAAATAACATAAAACACATTATGTTAATTTAATCATGTACACGGTCAACATTTTGACCACTAGACAAATATACCCTTTATTCTAGCGCTATAATTTTAATAATTCTTTCACAATTTCTCACCAAGATTTTGAGCTGGTCTTCGCGGAAATAAGTTCTTGTTTCAACATTTAATTACACCTTTCAAGAACTAAAAAAATCAACCTTAATGGCCTATTAAGAGGCCCAATTTAATCCAAAATTCTATATTAACGATATAAGTAGCCGGCGACATACAAAAGAATATGTTGTTAAGAGCTTTTAAGCCCTTCAAAGAATTAGATTTAATAATGAAGTGATTTTCCCAGATTATAATACAGGATTAAGGTAGAATATGATCGACGTTTCACCGTGTCAAATTCTTTAAAATATAAAACACACCGTAAAATACGCCGTAAAATACACAGTAATAATAATCAGCACAAAAACCAAGTGACCAATATCTTACTAACCTATATGTTATTTTGTTACTAAAAATAAAAGTGGTCGTTGTTGTCTTACTAACCTATATGCCGAGAACTTCTTCCCTTTGAAATACCATTATATTAAATGTTTGATAAATAAGAACATGTATATTTTCAGAGCCGTAAAATTTAATCAGTATATTTAAAGAATATAGTTTAATGCTATCACGAAAAGCACATGAACAACTGTTTATTTCTTAAGGAAGCACATATAGCATTTTTGATTCATGTAAGTACATAAAGAACAATAAATTGTTTTAGAAAGCACATATAAAAATACTGATTGTAGAAAGTAAATGTAGAACATTAATTAAATCAATTGAAATATATAATTTCCTAAAAACAACATACAAACTTAATTGAAAAACATATGCAATTCTTTCCAGCGCACCAATTTTTCAAGGTGTACAATTAAAACAATTAATGTTTAAATGCACAGTTAGAACCATTCATGTTCTAGATATCACGTGTAAAATATTTGATATGATTCTATCAAGTAAACACGTGATGTTATTCAATCGAGCAACCATTCATTAAATCCATTACGTTCAATTATCCCACATGCTATTTGATGTTATATAATTTCATAAACAATATTTTCATACTTTATTTTAAAAAGAATATTTAAGAGAATTATGTTTGCAGCAGAGTATAAGAAACAGTTGACATAGAAGTGGCACAATCCATCATGAAACCCACCTTTTATAGCGGGGAGAGTGATGCGATTTGTAAATATGGAACGCCGTTTATGTCACTAATCTAGCGTAACTTGAATACGTTGTTTGGTGTTTGTTGGTTATTTTTATCTGTCTATGATGTCCAGAGAACAAGTTTAACCTTTGAGTAGGTTTCTTAAACATGCTTATTTTAATAATCTCATATTTGATTTAATGTCATATTAATGTATTTAAATGCTAATTTAAGTGTAGCAAATCACCTTTAATCCCTCTTTAATACCTTGAAATTACAGTAAAAGTGGCACTTTATTCTCTTTAAAACATTTCATATGTTACCGCAAGTACATACTTTACAGAATTTTATAATACCTATCAACTTAAATCATGTCTCACTGGTTTAAGTTGTCTATTAAACTATCTTTTTTAAAATTTATCTGAACCATGTATCACCAACTCAATATTCATTGTTGTTTAAAGTATAGGTTAATGTTTATCAGAAAACATTTACATAAGTTAAACTGGTCCAGAGCGGCTCGACCAATTAAATTTGGCAAATGCTTACTATTGAACACTGACAAATTTAGTGTTTGAAATTATTTTCATAAACAGTCGATTTACTTTACTGATTTATAGTTAGCCAATTTACTAAAGTAAAAGTGTTGCGATTCATTTCAATTAATACTGCAATTTTATAGGACACAAAATAATTTCAAACACTAAAACACTATTGATCTTAACTTATTTGATATTAATCATTGCCGTACTTTCGTAATTGAAATACATGTACACATGAGTGTAAGAATTATTCTGAATTAAAAAAGGAACACACCAGCATGTGTCATTGTAATTATGTTTAGCTTTCAGAACAGCCGTATTATTTATATACACCACAACAACAATTCTCATTTTCACGTGATTTCACGTGATTCAACGTAATTCAAAGTGATTCCACGCATTTTCTTTCCATATCCCTTATTTCACATGAATATTTATCATATTTGCATGAATAACTGAGATAAATTACATCTCTTTAATATAAATCGCTGCATTAATAAACAACAAGAGTATGTAATATTTATTGATTTATTAACAGTAATAAAAAATAAAAGACTAGCAACGAATACAACAGTAATTCTATCTATCCATCAACATTTACCTAAATATTATACCGATTGTCAACAAATAAATGTACAACAAAATATGACATCAACGTCCATCCATACATATACAATATTGGTCATACAATGGTCTTGTATATTTCAAGCTCTCTTTTAAATGTGTATAGATGTATTTAGTATATATCTCATTATGCCCTATACAATTCATATTGTTGATGGAATATGAAACATAAATTTCATGGAAACTATAGCAAGTTTCCACACGATTTATATACAATGCATGACTTGTTTTAAGCTGTATTCACAATTAAAAAAGCACATAGTGTATGTGTATTTGAAATCATAGGGTGTTGTCGCGATTTTTTCCTTTCACATTATATATAAGAACGCACCAGAAGAAATGTCACTTTGTTGTCTAAAAAAGTATAACTTATATCATACATTCGTTATGAATATTTCTGACAGGTTACATGACCGTATATAAACAGTTGTTTACATATAACACTCGCCTAGCGACTCGGACTATATTTCCAAACCACCGTTTGTATACAGTTATATAATCTGTCAAAAATATTTATAATTAATAATATACATGTATATCATTATAACAAGAGAAAATATCCTGAACAAGGTTTGTACTTCTTAACTTCTTAAATATTCGCTATGTTATATTATTTGAATATTTTTATTTTTTCTAGGGTTTACATTTGAAACAAAAGGGAAAGGGCACAAGAGAGGTAAAAGCACTGAACAAATTTTTTTTTGCTGATTTCTGTTGCAAACTATTACTGGCGATAAAACAGATATAAAATATAAAATTTATAACATTGGCTAGGGATATATCGAGGGATGCTTCTGATAAAGAAGACCATTATGCAGAAATATCCCGAGATATCCTCGTAACTTACTCGTTTCATATAGTTAAGTCAAGTCAAATATACTTCAAATATTTCATATACTATAAATATTACTTACCAGAATTGGATCATTTTGACTTATATTCCATGTTATAATAATACATTCTGTATATAGAATAAGCAAGGATACAAATCTAGAGAACCCCCTATGTTTGAAATAAAACGAGTTTGTCCAAGCACTAACAACTTAATAATGTAAATGTTTTATGTATAATACATACATTTATACGTCAGTTTTCAAATTCTTTGAATTTGTGATGGATAAAAGTAAATATGAGGATATTAAATGAGTATAGATTCAACACTGAATTTATTGAAAGAGTTGTATAAATTTATATATGTGTGCCTCTGGCGGGCATAATATTATTTTCTTCAACGAGTTCAATAAATTAAGCGATGAATCTACACGAATAAAATATTCTATTTATCACATAACCAACATAAAAACTGTTAACAATGAAAATAATCATTTTTGTTATTGACGCAGCTAACATTTAGCACATCTATCTTAACGCTATATTTGTATAACGCAAATGACATCACATCAAAATATATGCACCTCCGTACGGAGTCGCAAAAACGGAACGGGTTTGTGATAAATTTGTTTTAACATATGCATTTATTCTAACAACATATAGGAAAACAAAATCCCTAAAGAATGCCAAAAACGGCATAATTGAAAATGTAGCACACTTGGCTTGATCGAGCCTTTTATGGGCGTTGATGGTAAGTGCAAGGTGCCGTCCACGATCCCCTAGCATCGGCAATTTTTCCTAGGATACAAATCCTGAATACATAATGTAACAAAATCTTTGTAAAAGCTGCCGTAAAAATGATTTCATTCCTGTATTTCATATTGTGATTGTTCATGATATTCTGTTCTGTTTAAAAAGCTTTACAAATAAAAATAGAATATACCTTTTTGAAGAAAAAAAATTTGCATTTCTCCATTGGCTGAACAGCTAAAATTTTTAATATAGTAATGGTTGAATAAGAGGCTCAAAATGTTACTAATAATAGAAACATTTAAAATTCAACATACATGTATAGCTTTCCTATGAACAAGTGTACATTTATATAACTATTCATTAAAAAAAAAGACGATGGTTCAATGGGTATAATTTGAATAATTTTGCTGAAATATGAAACAAAAGGTATATTGCCGGAATGTCAGTGTTCGTGAAGTTATTACTATACCCACTCAATCCTTCTCCCCATTGTATTGTTCTTGCACATGTGTTGCTGTTAAATAATAACTGGCCTTGAATAATTCCTCTACTGGCTTTCCATAAAATAAATTATCAAAACCGCAATACTTTATGTATATGACACTTATAAATTTCATTTTTGTTGTTTTGTCATGAGTTTTCGCGATCAGATTCAACAACGTCAATTTCTTCATTGTCTTCGTCATCTGTATTCGCGTGATAATTTGAACACCCGGATGTAAATGAACTTTGACCTTTCACGAGACTTTCTACGTCATATCTGGTAAATTTTCCGGACGATGAACATGACGTCCGCTCTTCATCAAGAGACGTGGAATGTTCGTCATAATTTCCACAATCACTGTCATCGTCGTTAAGTTCCGTGACATCATCAGAATCATTATGTCCTTTCTTTTGTAACTTTTTGTGTTTCATTCTTCTATTTTGGAACCATGTTTTCACCTGAAATGAAGGTTTGAAGATATTATATTGTATTTTTAGACAGTTACAGAGAAAAGATTTCATTTCATTTTTCATACTCTTTACATAATTTTACTTGAAGCGGCTGCTGCGTAAATTGCACCCCCCTTTTATTCATTTGCATTATACTTAAATATTGATAAGTTTTAATTGTGATATACCGGTATATGGTTCGCGTACTAAGACTGTCATCATTCCATCAAGCACGGACTTCAATTATGCAATAAAAGTCCGTACGTCAAGTGAGCTAAACAAGTATTGTTTTGTTTTAATGAAGAAAAAGAAAAAGGTAAAAGAATTCAGTAGAAATAATATAACAATATTAATTTCAATTCATATATCATTCAATATCACGCTAATGACTTTTTTACAGACACAATATTACATAAAGTACCTGAGTTTCCGACAGGCTGAGTTGTGAAGCTAGCTCTACACGTTCAGGGGTTGATAAATAACGCTGAGATTCGAACCTCTTCTCTAAGCCGTTTAGTTGTTGGTCACTGAATACAGTTCGAGCCTTCCGCCGCCTGCAGTGCTTTCCTGGACTATCGTGTTGAAAGAGGGGACCCAGAGGAAATCCTGAATAATAATAAATACGCCATTTTAAAATTTCAGAATATGTTATAAATCAATGTTTTATGATGTGTTGATTTTAGCAATATAGTTGATTGATTTAACGCAGCAATACAGTTTGTTTCTACAGTTGTTTATAATACTTTACGTTTATAAAGTCATTTTTCATTGGATAACTTCCATGAACTAATTAACATTCATAAAAAAAGTTTGCCAGTTGTGTATCTAGCTTCAGTTTATGATCGTATTGCTCTTTAATCTATGTACACTGTTACTAAATGTACTGATATTAATTTTTCGCAAATAAAAAAAAATGTGCTGTTTTGTAAATTATTATATATTATGTAATCACGTATAGACCCCGCCATGTTTACGTAATATATTGCCTGTTAAAACATTATAAATCTTAATATGCAGGCAGTTATTATACAAAATAAATGTACATCAACTTTCTTTCGCATACTTGAATCTTATACTATGCGAACACAAAGCACAGAATGACAGGTGACTTGTTTATACGATGTATGAAACAAAGCCGAGGATGGTTGTTTTGTCGTTAACAATATTTGGATCAGATTCATTCAATTTATATATAAGTATCGATAATTAAATATTCTCGAGTCGAGAATTTTTAGCATAAAACGTGTGTATATAATTGTCCATATCTGGAAATATGTTGATTAGTTTTTTTATATAAATATATCTAACAGCGGCAATCTAGCGAATATAGATAGCAATTTAACGCCCTAAACCACAGTAAAATTCACAAGAAGAACACCTCGATCACTTCAAGCTCTCATCGTGTATACAGGGTGTGCCAGGTGAAATAAAGAGCCGCAATTATCAAATAAATCAAAGTGGGAGATACTTTGTGTTATATTTATAAATTTTTTAATACATCGCATGATGGAGGGATAGAATGTCAATTGGCGGCGTGACACTAGGAAATTCTCACATTCTAATCAAGTTATCATCTAACCGACGGAAATTCTGAAAATTGTCTTAATCAAAACAGTATGTTGTCAATAAGTTAGTATACAAATATTCCTATCATGTATACTTCCGCGCTAAAATAATATCAAAACTATTTAACACATTGTCACCTAATTGTAAAACACCTGTTAACATACAGATATTCGTGAATAAGAATCTGTTAAATACGCTAAATACATGTTTGGATTGTAAAGTCTGAGATAGCACAAACTTACTGTACTAAATTGCAATTAGACAGGCTCGCACCATAACGTATTGTCATTAATTACAATTCAACCAGTACAAAGCAAACGCTTAGTAGACGTATAGGACAAGTTTAAGGGAAAGTTGGCCCCTATTGTCAGTTATTTATCCACCTTTTGTAGTGGTCCTTAAGTGTCCTTAACACGTCTCGTTACGTCATATAACCCGCGGATTCTTTCTTGAGCGCAAGAATATATATACCTAGGCGGTGCGGTGTTAAATTGTTAAATATCTTACAACTAAAATCTTAATCTTAATACATCAAATATATCCATAATATTGTACAACATAGGGATCTTATGATATCTTCATTTATCTTGTATTAGACGATCAGTACTAGAAATTAAAGTAATGTTAGATAACAACTTGTGAAAAAACTGATTACAGTATTTATAACTTGTTAACGCGTTGTTGTAATCCATTCATTTATTATATCATAATAAAAATTATATCATTTTTTTAAATTCTTTATATTATTATATTATATCATTATCATTTTTGAAAATTATTATTCATGTTTGTACTGAAAACTCTTTAGTAGCCATTCACTCAAAAGTTCGTTCACAAATAAGCAAATCAAACCCGAGGATCAAACCCGAGAACAAAGATATAAAACGTAAAATTAGCCGATAATAATGATGACGATGACGACAATGATAATGATGACAGTGATGATGATGATCATTGTAATAATAATAAATAATAACACACTTCATGTGACTGTTCACCTTAGAAATACCACTATTTCAATAGTTATGTTATCTTGAGTTAAAGTTGATAATAACATTTACCAGCTGCTGACGGTGATATGAAGTGGTGCTCGGCATGCTTTGCTGCAAGTCCCTGCACATGCTGTAAAACATGGGGGAAGAATACTGGTGAAGCGGGAAAACAGTGATATGCCGCAGCTGCGTACTCCGCCGGAAGTGATGGTCTCATAATGGCGGACAGATTGTTGAGGTTAGAGTATTCTCGACATAGCTGTTTAGGTTTGCTCAACAAAATGTCCTCAATAAAGAATGAAGATGGTCGCGAGGTAGCTGTAGTTTCCTTTAATCTGCCGAGCTCCATCATTCAATCGTCTGAAATAAAAAAATATAGAGATAAAATAGTGTCCGGTGACTTCTTCAAAAAATAAGCAAATATAGATACATGTATGAATAAATAAATAATAATAAATAAATAAATAATTGAATGAATGAATAATGAATAAATAAATAAATAAATAAATAAATAAATAAATAAATAAATAAATAAATAAATAAATAAATAAATAAATAAATAAATAAATAAATAACATCTTTAGATATTTACATTGCTTGTCGCTGTTAAATTTTCGTAACTCTGTTGTAATCATTCAGAACTACTGATGTAGAAGTCAACTAACAAAAGAGAAAATATGTTATTTGTTACTATTTTTCTCTGTCTTCTAACTAAGCATTCTTCAATAAAACCCTCATTTACTATTTTTATCTCACGTTAGAGGTTTCCTAAGGCGTTACAGAGAGACATAAATGGATCCAAATGGAATTAATGAACTCTTTGATGATTAATTATTGCCCTTAAAGGAAGCTTTAATCCCTAATGTCCGTCAAATTACAGAATGATTATAACCCAATCCTATTCTCACGCATTGAGGGATCTACTTCCGTTTCTAATTATAGCACATAAGCAGACTTCATCATAACCGGAAGTAGTTCCACTAGAAGATGGTTGTTTACAGGCGGCGCAGAAAATTAATTACTGACCAAAATATTTAATGTCAAGGGATAATTATCGCTTTTACCATGTAACTGCTGTAGTAGACAGAAGAGTTATTGTTTGAGACTTATTGTTTTAACTATGAATTTATTTGTATTTTTACATTTTTGTGTATTTGCAAAATCTAACGAATGGATGAAAATCTGTATATAATATTTTAATCTGAAATCGTATTGTTCGGGCATATATATAAATATGAAAAATTCCGTATAATATCACTTATGTCAAAAATAAACACGATAGTTCAGTTACAAATGTCCGTGTGTGTTCTAAATATATACATCTTTAATCACAAATTTCATTATGGACAAACTAAAGCTCTTACGACTACGTTAGATTGTCAGATCATCCCTGATTCTATAAAGTCTATAAACCTCGAGCGGAAATTAAGTGCCTTCACGTAACAATTGTAATGCATAATGCATTCCATTTGCTATCTAATTCAGCTCCGAAATTTGATAAATTAATCAAATTTTCTGATTACTTAAGTTAATTTAGGATAAAAACAGCTTAATTTGAGTGTTAGCGAGTTTTCCTTGCCTTTTGAAATTTGTCGTGATTTTAGCCTGAGAGAGAGAATATCGCATTAAGTTAATAGCATGGATCATTTTAGTTGCTTAAGCAAACAGATTCTCGACTGTCGCCTTCTCGGAATACCTAATTTTCCCAGCAGACGACAATCTTTAAAGCATAATAAGAGAATTATCGTAATTTATAAGCCAGTGAGTTATTTCTGCCAAATTAAGACGTCTTCTGGCGATAAAAGAGGTTGGCTGCGTGAACAATGATCATCAAGTATTCCTGGAGCGGCAAAGATTATTTACTGAATTAAGCTTCGAACAAGCACTAATTGGCCCCAAAGTGCTCTCAAAAACAAGTAATATGTCATCACGTAAACTTTGAAGATACACTTCAATATGAAGGATATTTTTTTAGAACATTCCGTTTTCGTTTTTCTTACTTTTATGTGTGTGTATTTTCGTAAAGTAAAATTCGGTCTGAAAAAAGAAAGAGCCTGAACAAATACTTTTTGCAGCGTTTTCTTTGCATCAGAAAAAGTCATCCGCATACAGAAATTTCTAAAACTGTAACTTTAGAAATAAATAGGTGTCTAAGTTTGTCTTCTTGCCTTTTGTTTTCACATCATCAGAAAAAGCATGTATTTGATTGAAAATGAACAAACCGTTTATAAAGTATATGTGACTGCCATTTTTTATCATCAAATTTATATTAAACCGTTGAAGACACGAGAAATGTTGTTTCAAGCTCAACATATGTATTACATGTACATGTATAAGTGATATGATGATTGGAAACAACACAATTAGCGAGACAAAAGGCGGTAAGAAATAAATATTTGACTTTAAGGAAAGTACTTCAACCTTTTTTTTTTATAAAAAAGCTAACATGTTTTCTTTAATAAGAATTTTATCATAGATATTCAAAGGTCCGAAATTGCTCGCATGATGTGGAATTATTTTTGCCCTAACATTTTAATTTGTAAGCGCTAAGATGCACATTTAGCCTCAGAAAATGACTAATTGTTTTCTTCTGTAGAAAGGGCAACATGTGTTTTATAACGTTGTTTAGATTTGTGTAAGATACTTTTGTGAAGCAAAATATGAGTTTGATATATAGCCAATAACTGAAACAAGATATAATTTTTAGGCATATTGAGCCTTTCCTATAGTCGATTTTCGTTGGAGCATCGTGACATAAATGTTTTCATATTCGGCAGTTGTACAATTCGGCCATTTAAAAACGAAAACGAATTTAATTTTTACCATTGCTTTCTGTTTACATCTAAATTTCAAGTTAAGATAAATGAAGAATAAATGCTTAATGTTATTGTCGCTGTTGTTTAAGTTGTTGTTTTGATTGTTGTTTTTGTTGTTGTTTAGTGAACGCACTCATGTAGTTCGCGTGTTTTCGTCTTAAGAAACTGATAATTAAGGGAGTGGTGAGTAACTAACTATGTTTTTGTCATTCATAGCACACTCTCTTATAATGAGGACTTGTTTAAGACATTTATAAATTCCCATTGTGGTTAATTTTGGTAAATTGTGTTTCTATTTCTCAATTAAACCCATTTAAAGGCAAGAAGCGAGGAATGAAAACATATGAGACAGTTATCAGAACTTGCAATTAACAATTAATTGGACGTTAAGGCGTTCTCAGGGGAGACATTTTCACTCCCCATTCAGGAAACATTCTGCCTGGTTCCAAGTTTAATTACCGGATTTCCCAATTTCCCTGACTTGGCAAATATTTTAATTATTACCTTATTCGAAACAATGTTTCTTTTTTGTATCCATTCTGTTTGGATCTTCCTGAGTATTTCAAAGAGGAAATTATTTTATGTTTAATACGTTATGAAACATATTATTTTGAGAAGTGTTGAGATTCATCTTATCAAGATGTTGTTGTAAATGTTGTACTGTTGTTAAGTTATATTTTGCTATGTTTGTAAATGTTTCTATCGATGTTGTTAAATATATTAACATATAGTTTAAGATGTAATATATGACTATGTTTACTACATCGTTTATGAATAAACCCATTACAGAATGTTAAAATATTTACTTTAATGATTTTACAAAGATACTAAACCAATGGTTAATAACAGTAAAATCTACATGTATCAAAAGCATTAACCGATATTTTTTCAAGAAAAAGAATAAAATCACCCCGAAAATGAACTTTAACTAAAAAAATCCCAAAAGGATCACCATTCGCCAACAGTCCATTAAATAACAAAATGTTTCAAAAATGACAATCAAGCCCCATGTTTCCATTCAGTCAAAAATATTTCCCAGTAATGACCACCACACCCACATGTCCACTGCCACGCAAAACTTACAATTTGACAATCAAAACCCTATATCTATTTACTACAAGTACCTTAATAAAGAAAGCCATTTTACCCCACCGGTCAATTTATTGACCTTCTGAAAAAAAAACAACAACAAAAAACCCCAACGTTATACCCGTTTTGTCCATCCATTTACCTTCCGAAACCTAACTATTATACCCCATCTACTCATAAACTAACCTTACGAAACAAAACCGCTTATATACCGCACTTGCCTATAATCTAATCTTCCGAAACCGGATTATTATACCCTACCAGCCCATTAACTACCCTTCTGTAACAAAAACTGTTACACTCAACTTGCCCACTAACTAACTTTCTGTAACAAAACCGCTCTACTTCCTACTTACCCATCAACTAACTTTCTGGAACAATAACTGTAACACTCAACTTGCCCATTAGCTAACTTTCCGAAACAAAACCGCTGTACCACCTTCCCATTTACTAACAGCAGATACAGTTACAGACTACTAATATCTGAACAAAGATCTATAAATATGGTAAGTTATACTGACATTTGTCCGTCAGCTTCTATATGTATTGTATTTTACTCTGTAAATTAATTTTTAAACTTCTTTGCTATTTGTACTTATAATGTTTAATATGTTTGAACATGACTTAATTGGTAAATTCGTATTTGAACAACGCTGTTGCTCAAATATACAACTTCTTTTTGCAAATTAATTTGTTCATGAACAAGCTGAAAAGTTATGGAACGTATTTTTTTTAATTCGTCCTTCATCTTATATATGTGTTACATAATATCTTTAAAGATATTACATACAATTGTTCACGTTTACAGTTATATGTATATCTAAGATGATGTATTATGTTTACGACCTTTTATTTTTATACGAATAAGAAATGAATGTCAGCATTATTTCAATTACAGTTTCAATTTTAAAAAAAAATCATTCGGTAGACGTGTGTACATTAAAGACTTGTCCATAGTTGTAGTTATAAATATATATTTATGTAACTATATAGAACGCCTTTATATCCTTTGTTTACTTATCGCTATTACGACGACGGCGAATATAATTATTTAAGAATGCATTAGTCGTTAATATATTAATTATAAGACATTTTTGGAATAACAAACCGATACTGTTCACTCCTTCTCAATTTATATAAATTCAGAATGTACAATTTGGGAAAAGGTACTCTAATGGACCTCACTACAGGCAGAAAATACTCCATTATACAGAAAGAATTCCGTGATTTACCTCCTTACATCTCCAAGTGCTTCGAAATGACAAAAATACCATGAAATTTGAACAAATTACTTTGATAACTGAATATAATGTGAGCTAATTCAGTATAATATCGGAAAATGCCAAGAAAATTGCCATAAAACGCCAGTCTCTAAGAAATCATGCCTTTGGAACTCGCCTCCCGCGGATATTGAATTTCCTTAACAAATGAGCGCGTAGTTAAGGAGCATTTGCG